ACGGCCAGCACCACCACGGCGATCAGCACCACCACAGCGACCAGCACCACCACGACCAGCCCCACGACCAGGAGGACCACCACGACCAGCACCACCACGGCGACCAGCACCACTACGACCTGCACCACCACGGCGACCAGCACCACCACGACCAGCACCACTACGACCGGCACCACCACGACCAGGAGGACCACCACGACCAGCACCACCACGGCGACCAGCACCACTACGGCGACCAGCACCACTACGACCCGCACCACCACGGCGACCAGCACCACCACGACCAGGAGGACCACCACGACCAGCACTACCACGGCGACCAGCACCACCACGGCGACCAGCACCACCACTGCGACCAGCACCACCACGACCAGCACCACCGCGACCAGGAGGACCACCACGACCAGCACCACTACGGCGACCAGCACCACCACGGCGACCAGCACCACTACGACCAGCACCACCACGGCGACCAGCACCACCAGGACCAGGGGCAGCACGGCGACTAGCAGCACCCCGACAGCAGCCAGCAGCACAGAGGAGGAGGAGGCGGCGGCGGCGGCGGCGGAGGCGGCGGAGGAGACGCTGGCGCTGGCCCGAGGCAGCGCGGCGGCGCGGAGGGCGAACGCACCCCCGCGAGGCGCAGCGCCGCCGCAGGTTCGCGCACGGGCAGAGGGGGGCGGATTCAGCCCTCCTAAGCCACAACCCTCTGCCCAGCGACCTGCGGCGGCGGGCGCGGCGACCAGCGGCGGCAGGACCGGCGGCGAGGCGCGGCGGCCTGCGGCCGACCTGCGGCAGGCGGCGACGGGCCAGGCGCCGCGGCGAAGCGCGGCGGCCCGCGGCGGCGCGGCCGCGCGGAGGCCGTAAGCTGCGCCGCCAGCGCCGCCCCGAGGGCGGCGGCGGCGGCACCGGCTGGCGGCGGCAGGCCCGGCGGCGCGGCGCTGCGACGAGCGGCTGGCCGGCGACTGGCGGCGACGGGCCGGGCGCCGCGGCACAAGGCGCCGGCTGGCGGCGGCGGCTGGCGGCGGCTGGCCGAGGGCGCCCCGGGCGCTCCTGGGGCGCCGAGGGGCTTGGGGCAGCTGGGCGGGAGGCCCCCGGCGGGGCGGCTAGCTGGCGGGAGGTTCGGGGTTGCCCTGGCTTCGGCCGAAAACCCCCCGCTCCTTCGGGGCGCGCCCCCGCCCCACACTCACCGCGGGCGCGCGGGGGGTCCGCACTGGCCGCAAGGGGACGCGGCAGCCTTGGGGTAGGAAGGGGGGGAAAACAAAAAAAAAAAAAAAAAAAATCGTCGCCGCGGACGCCGACGAGCTGCGCGGCGGCTGGCAGCTGGTGCCCTCGACGCGGCGATCGCCGAACACAGGGCGCTCGTGGAGCAGGCGGCGGCCTTCCAGCCGCGGCGCACCCTCCTGGCCGAGAGGTTCGGGAGGAGGCGCTCGCACGGCAGGCAGGCGCTCGCACGGCAGGCGGGCAGGGCCGGCGGGCGCTGCGGCCGCGGGCCGCCGGGCCGGGGCAGCTATGGCGGCCTTCGCGGACGGCCTTGCCCGGGCGCGGAGGGGAGCCGACCGGGCCAGGGCCTCGAGAGCTTCCGCGGCCCCCGGACGCCGCCGGAAGCCTCCGGAGGCCGAGGCACGCAGGGCGGCTCGGCCGGGCGAGCGGCGGGCGGCGGCGGCTGGCGGCGCGAAGACCGCGAGGTGGCCGGCGGGCCCGTCGGGCCGCCTAAGGCGTCCGCGGGCGTCGGCAGCCCAGCCAGGGGGCCAGCCGGAGGGAGCCGGGTGCAGCAGCCCCTTTCGCTGCGGACTCGGCCAGGGGCAGGGACTGGGACTGGGAAGGGAGGGGCAAAAAAAAAAAAAAAAAAATGAGCCACTGCGTTGCGTGATCCTCCCGCTGGCGCCTCTCGCTGCGACCTCGTGGGGCCGTTCCATGCAACGGTCGTGCAGGTGGGCCGCTGGCCCCGTAGCCCCCAGCGCGCGTCACTCGGAGAACAGGCTGGGCTGCTTTGCTCGTGGTGCTGGCTGAAGCGCAGCTGGTCGCAGCCGCAACGGTGCTTGTGTCAGTCGCAGCCTTGGTGGTGGCGGTGGTGGTGCTGGGCGTCGTTGTTGTGAAGGTGGTGCTGCTGATAATGCTGCTTGTCGTCGTGGTGCCCGTGGTGCTGCTGGTCGTCGTCGTTTGGCTGCTGGTCGCCGTCGTCGTGGCGATGCTGATCGCGGTCGTCATGGTGGCTGTGCAGGGTGTCGCCGTGGTGGTTGCGGTGCTGCTGCTGGTGTTGGTGGTTGTCGTGGTGGTGGTGGTGAGGCTGCTGCTGCTGCTGCTGCTGCTGCTGCTGCTGCTGCTGCTGCTGCTGCTGCTGCTGCTGCTGGTCGTCGTGGTGGTGGTGCTGCTGCTGGTCGCGGTGACGGTGCTGCCGCTGGTGCCGGTTGTCGTGATCGTTGCTGGTCGTAATCGTTGCGTTGCTGCTCGCGGCGCTGCTGTTGGGAGTCGTCGCGCCTCTCGTGGTCGAAGTTGTTGCTGCGTTGTTCCTGTGGGCTTGCTGTGGAAGCCGGGGCGCCGCCGGGGACGGCAGTGGAGCCGCGCGAACGCCGATGGGGAACTGGCCCCAGGTGTTGGGTCCTACCGTGGGACTGGGGCTCTACCCCTGGGGGGCTCGGGCTGCTGCTGGCGCCAGCCCCTCCCTGGGAAGGGGCTGGGGGGCTGGCGGCCAGGCGGCTGGAGTGGCCGTCTGGGGTGGCGGAGGGCCTTGCTGACTGCTGTCGTCCTGGCCGCTGCCGTGCCTGCTGCTGCTGCTGCTGCTGCTGCCCAGGGGCTGCGGTTCGAGGTCGTGGTGGTAGCGGTGGTGGTGCAAGGCGTCGCCCTGGTCGCTGCGGTGCTGCCTGCTCTCGCGCGCCCTTTCTTCAACCTCCCCCTGAGACGTCAGAGTCCCTACAAGAATACCTTTTTCCTGAGATCTCGAAGTCAATCCGGAGTGTGGGTCGGGTCGGTGCAGCGCTTGGCTTGCTGCTGTCGTGGCGCCCGAGGCGAAGGGGCTCTCTGGCTATGACTGGCGTGCCCTCGCCCACACCCGACTGCGCCATCTCGCGGTCTGCGTCCTGCCGTCGGTGCGGGCGCTGGAGCTTGGCCGCTCCTCGCTTGGTCTGCTGGCTGTCGCGGCCCAAACTCCGCTGCTCTCCTCCGCCTCCTCTCGTTGCTGCTTCTGTGCAGGCGGGTGCTGGTGCTGCTGCAGCTGCTGCTCGTCGTGCGGCGCCACGACCTGGGCTGCCCCGTCGTGCATTTTTCGGAGCGCGCCTTGCGCCCACCTCCTTTTTTTCCCCCGCGGCGGTGTGCCCGCGCTGCGGGGCCTCCTGCGCTGTCGGCGCGCTCGCGCCACAGGGCGGCCACCAGGTGTGCGCGGGGTGCCTGCGGCTGGGCACGTGGGTGTTGGAAGCCAGCACGACCGAAGGGGAATAGAGATGTGGCGTGGGCGAAACAGACGCCTGGGCAAGATAAGCACCGCCCGCCCTACGGGCCGCGGCAGCGGACAGCCAGCCGCAAGCCACCCCGCCAGGACAAGAGCACGAACGGCCGCCAGAGCCAGGAGCAGGCGGCGGGGGCCCCGACCCGCCAGCAGACGCACCGAGACCACGCCAGCAGCACCACCACAACCACCAGCACCACCACCACGCCGACCAGCAGCACCAGCAGCAACACCGTTACCACCACTACGACGTCACCCAGCACCACCACCGCCACCACCACGACCGCGACCAGCACTGCCACGACGACAGCGACCAGCAGCCAAACGACTACGACCAGCGGCGCCACCGGCACTACGACGACAGGCAACACCACCAGCAGCAACACCACCACCAGCACCACCACGACGACGCCCAGCACCACCGCCACCACCCGACCGTGACCAACACCGCCACGACGACGGCGACCCGCAGCTAAATGACTAATGAAGGGAAACGGTTAAAAAAAACCTTCTGGGGCGGACGATTAAAAAAAAGTGATTCGCGGGCCTCCTCGCCTGGAAGGCCTGCCTGCTGAGCATTTTCTCTGGGTGGAGGGCAGAGGGTGAAATCTCCAAAGCGGCTTTGCCACAAACATCGCCACTGGTTAACCACCACAACGTGACCGATGCGAGCACGCGCTGTCAGCAAGGTAACTGTCAAAGTCTGCACCCGCATATTCGCGCGCCGAGATGGCCCCACGCCCTATTGCATGAAAGGCCTTGTCGCAACGAGGCCTTTTGGTTACCAATGGCGGGCTGGTGGTTTACTTATTTCAAGCTTGCGCTCAAGGGAGAGAAAAAGAGGGGGCGGGACGGTGGAGTGAGAAGAGGGAGGAGTGTACACACGGGAGGGGCGAGGGAGGGTGAGGCGTGGACCCGAACCCCCTGATGCAGATGCTCTGGTCGCACCCGCGCTGGACGGCAGACCAGCTCTGAGCCGCGGCCAGGCCGGCAAAGGGGGCCCCGAAGGACCTTCCCTGCTCGAAATGCTTCTGCCCGTGACCTTCCAGTTATCATGCCCCTCCTCATCCCTCCTCCGCCTCCTCTCTCCCGTTGCCCCTCTGCCCCCTCCTCCCTCCTTCCTCTCTGCCGCCGGGGCCCCGTCGGCCGTCGTCCGAGCACTGCTGCGACCCCACTGTCCGCGGACGTCGCTGCTGCCGAATCGTCGCCAGCCACTTTTCTGACCCCTCATGCAGAAGCGCCCCCCTGACGGTCGCGCCCGCCAGACGCGGGCAAGACGGCTCCCCGCAGGATCCAGCGAGCCAGTCCCTCTCCCCCCCTCTCCCTCCATATCTCCTCCTACCTCCCTCCACCGCTCTCCCTTTCCGCCTCCTGCACCCCTACTCTCGCCGCCAGCTCCTCCTCCTCTACCTCCGCCTCCTCCTGCGAATTTCCCTCCAATGCTATGTTTGAGATGATCCTCGGGCGCCCTTTCTCCCCCACCCCCCACCCACCCCGTTGCCGTGGCGCGGCAGCCCGCGGTAACCCGTGGACGCGGCGGCTACTAGACGCGCCGCTACTCAAGGATCCAGGGGCATTCGGCCCCGGACCAATCCCACGCCGTCCTCAGAACCTCCATCAGAGTCGCCCTCTCTCTATCCAGGCCCCCATCCCCCCATGTCGCCGAGTAGGAATAAGGCGGTTCTGACTTGTCTTTGGTTGAGATCTGCCATCTGTTGTAACGACTGGTCTCCTTCTTCAGAGTATAGCCAGGTGGGAGATACTTCAGGCACTCCTCCCGGGGGTACCCCCCTGTATCAGGGATGTGCCTCTTCTCGACAGCGGGGGCGCTACCAGAACCAGAAGCGGCAGAACCTGATTCCGCGCCCCCGCCACCCGCGGCGTCACCAGCATGGCCAGCGGAACCGCTACTCGACCCACCCGCTTTCGCAGCCATGCCGGAGTGGCGGTCCTGCCTCTCGATCTCTTTCTCCTGCAAGAGCTGTTCCTTCACGTCGCCGAGGTCGCTTGCGTCCAACATGTCCTCGGCGCCAGCTGCCAAGCCCCCGTCTCCACTCAGGGCAGACGGCAACGGCTCCACATCCCGCTTGCGCATGCGCTTCGCAAGACAAGCGTCGACATCGCTGGGCTCCATAGCTGGGCAAGCCCAGCTCACCAAAGCCCTCACGAGGCTCACCTCCGTGTTCGGCCTGTCCTTGGCTCGCTCGTACACCAAAGGGCTGGACGCGAGAAGTTTCTTGAGGAACGGCACCTGCATACCTCGGAAACCTCGGCGGGCCGCTATCTCGAGCAAGGGCTGAGGCTTGCCTTTAAAGGCCCGCAAGATCCCGCCAGGGCGCTCATCCATGTCGCCGACCCCTCGTTGACAGGACGGCGGCAACATCTCCGATAAGCAGACCCTGTACTTGGTCCAATCGGTGATGGAAAGGAAAACCACCGGGTCGCTGAGCGGATCGCCTTGCGAGAGCACGGGCTCGCAATATTTGAGCTGGCCTTTCGGCTTCTTCAGCTTGAACCTCCACGCCCACAAGCCACAAGATGACGACTCCAGCACCACAAGCGCCCTTTGCTTGAAATCTTCGTGGAACAGCACGTCGCCCCGCTGTGCCAATACGGACCTCCATGCTCGCTCCAACATCGGCAGAGCCTCGATTCCAACCAGCGCCTCCAACCTCATTGGCGCCAAATTGAAGGTCAGAGGTGAAGGGCTCGGCCAAGATGATCCCGCCAACCCCTTTAACGCATCCATGCCAAACGACACGTCATGCACGTCGCCTTCGAACGTCTTCTCCGGCAACGTCTTGGCCCGGGCCTCATCTAAAACTGGCAATTTGAGATTCGGCCCTGGGCGATCGTTGTCAGACAGCAAGGAACTTTCTAACAACGTGTGCCAACGTTCGACGCGACCACATTGCGAGTTGCTGTTCTTGTTTTCTTGGTCCCTGATCTGCTTGACCGCGCTCTCCACCATGTCCGAATACATGGCCGAGAAACGTTCGCGCACGGTTCGCTCGACCAGAGCGGGGACTTTCTTGAAGTCGGTCTCCTCTAGAGCAATGAACACCTCGCGAGGCCACGTCGACAATGGCCAATAAAGCTCGCGAACATACTTGTCCCAGAACGTGCTCGAATGTGAAAGTGTCTCTGCTTTCTGCAACCGGTCCCACGTGTTCCGCAGCTTCGCCAAAGTTCCATCGACAATGGCACGGTCATGATGAAGTAGCAGGACGAACATGCCTGGAACGCCGTGCGGGAAGTAACTGCACGAACACAGCCTGTGGGCAACAGCGCTCAACATCATCATCGTGATGCGCGTGGACAGGAACTTTTCCTCATGTTCTAAAGCATCTCCGTGGTTGTACACCTCGCAACTTTCGAAATCGCAGGCCTCGAGCAAACCAGGATCAGAAAGCATGGAAAACATGCAGGACAACTCCTGCACATATTTCATCTGAGCCAAATTCTGGTGGTACTCCAGCAGCCCCCTTTTCGTTTTAAAGGTCACCAGCGCTTTGCCGAAGTGTTCCCTGCAAGGCTTGAGCACCCAGTAGATGCCGTCCATGAGCCTGACCTTGAACCTGTTCGCTAAGATCCGGCACGCAAGCACGATGCTGTTCTTGCTCCTCGCCCGCAGGATCTTCAGCTGCTCGTTGCTGAGGGCCATCGGAACTTTGTGCATTTCGCCCTCGTCCTCCCCGACCGCGCAATCCTCGAAGGCCAGCCCGACCTCCCCGTCCGCAGTGGCCATGAAGTCGGAAGTGGATGAGAACAAGGGGCTCTCCTCCAAGGTATTCCAATAGCCACGGCGCAACCCGATGTATACAAGGATCATCAGAAGTACTGGCGACTCCTCTCGCTTTTCCTCGTGCGCCTTGAACCATGACCACCACCTCCCCAACTTGACTCTAGCACCCATGCGCTGAAATGTCTTCGATGCCCGAGCCCTGTTCCATACGGCCTGCTCGTGTTCGGGCTGTCCGAGGCCATCCATCATGCCGAAAGATTCTGAGATAATCGGGTAAAAGTGTTTCCATAGGCCCTGTTCCGTGCCCAACGCGAAGAATTCCTTCGAAGCTGCAGCGATGACCCTGAAAAACATGGCGCCTTTGTAAGGACCTCCGGGCAAATTCCAGACGCACGCAAACTCAGCTATGATCTGACGGCCCCCTTGCGAGGCTAAAGGACTGCATGGGGCATCATTCCAAAACAAAGCGCTAACCTACCAGGGCCACGAATCCCGATCTTAGAACACTTTGGGCATGACTCGAAATATAAAGAGACGATAAGAAACAGATGGGGATGCGAGCAAGGACCCCATGTGGGTTCCCCTGTTGTCCGTTTCCCTCTTGAGACTCTGCAGGGGCCTTCGGAACAGGTCCAGGAAGGAGTGCGTGGAGGGGGAACGAGGGTTTCCAACGGAGGTTGCCGCGTGGCGAAGGGCCCGTGGAGAGCTCCAGAATGTAACCGCACTGAACTGGGGTAGGATTGACGGACTGGGTTTGTTTTTCATTCGTCAACGGCCGACTGTTTTCGTGCTGGCCTGGGCCACTTGTTTCCTCACTAGTGTTCATGTTCACGTCCGCTCCCATGCGCGACGCCCCAGACGCCCCGGAGGGCGCGGGAAGGGGGCGAAAGAGGGGTAGAGCAAAGGGAACAGGGAGGCCCCATATGGGTTCCCTTGCCGTCTGCTTCGTTCTCGGCGGGGGGGAGGAGCAGAATAGAGAGAACCAGGGGGACTGAGAAGGCATCAGTGGAAAAAACAACGAGGAAGGATAAACACTCTGAGATGCGGATCCCTTGGGAGCCGCGTCTTGAGGCACTTCTGGGGGGGCTCTCGGGCGCTCTCTTGGAGGGGCGTTGGGGCCCCATGGGGGCACTCTGGGGTTTCCTGGGCCGTTTGGCGCTGCATGGGGCCCTACTGAAGGCCTGTTGAAAATCCCTCGGTGGCCTCTTGGGGCGTCTTATCTTTGGGCCTTCTCTTGGGGGCCTCGCGAAGCCTCTCGGGGCACCCCTGGAAGCCTCACGCAACCTTTCTGGGGCGGTCTTGGGGTCGTCTTGGGGGGCTTGCGCGCTATCCAGCGGGGCCTCTTGGAAACTTGTTTTGGCTTTCTGGGGCCCTTCGTAGCCTTCGGCTTCGACGGCGCGGCGGTCGGAACAAAAACAACCACGGGCGCAAACATCATAGCAAACAGTGTGCGTTTTCATGCATGTTCGACTCTCCTGGGCGATGTTTGCGCGTTTGAAAGACCACAGGGCCCCACTTGGCCGCCCCCAAGGCACCGCGGGGTTATCTCCAGGTCTGGGGGGGGGCGCTCAAGAAAGACCTAGGGGCGTCGTGGAGTCCCAGTGCCGACCCCGCAAGCGCTCTGGGTGAGCAGATCGGTGCTCCCGGGCGCTCGAAACTACCAGCGGCCGCAATGCGGCTGGGCCCCCACCGAGCTCCGCCGGCTTTCCACGCGCGCCAGCGGGCGGATTTCAGAGAGGGGGGGCGGGGACCCCCCAAGGGGGAACTACACGGCCCCCCCATCCGCAACGCCGGGGGGAAGCATCGAAACGACGTTTCATCAAGCACTGCCTTTGCGAATTGCTTCGGTCTCTGATTCGGCGCTGGGCTCGGACAGGAAAAACACTTGAGTGGCATGCAAACTTGACGACCATCAGGCGCAAACAATGGGTGAACGCCCCATGCCTCGTTCTCCTAAGCACTGGCGAAAAAACGGCGGTTGCTTCTGAGGTGCGGTTGCTGCCCCTTCTACAGCCTGCGCTACCCCCCAAGTTTCCGCGGATGGGAAAAGTATTGAAAATACAAAGACAATGGGGAGAGGAGAGATGAGGGGGGAGGGAGGACGGGAGAGGAGGAAAGGGGGAGGGAGGGAGGAGGGATTCCAATGCAGAGGAACACGTATGTTTGGGGAATTCTATGGGCCCATATACGGGCGCGAGACCCTGTGGCTATGTAGACGGTCGCGAGTCCCTGTGGCAATCTAAACGGTCGGGAGTCCCTGTGGCAATCTAAACGGTCGCGAGGCCCTGTGGCGATCTAAACGGTCGCGAGGCCCTGTGGCGATCTAAACGGTCGCGAGGCCTTGAGGCAATGTAAACCGTCTATTACCCAGCACGCCCACTACCATGGGACGTAAAATGCCCATGGGCTCCGTGCGGCCACCAACAAACTGCATGCTATGTTGAGCGCGCGCCCCGCCGACGACTCCCGTTCCATTGACCCTTGCATTTCGCTGGCCCCCTCCCCCCGCCTGGCCGCGTCCGCTCCCAGAGCCAGGAACCCTGCCCCCCCTCTCCCGCCCCCTCCCCCGCCGCGGCAGCACGGCCGCCCAACTAGTTATGTTACGGGCCAGTCAGCCAGCCAACAAATTAACCAACCACTGAGTCAGCCGACGCGCCCACCTCGCCTACCAATCAGACAACTGGCCGGTCCGCCACGCTTCCCCCCCAACAAGCAGACCAGACAGCCGGCCCACCTACCAACCGTTCGGCCAGCCAAACAGACAGCCGACCAACCAGCCAACCAGGAAACAAACCTGCGAGCCCATCCGGAAGCAGGGCCAGCGGTGCACGCCGAAGGCCTTGAGATGAACCAACACCCGGTACTGGTCAAAGCATCGCCGGTATCTCTCATGGCCCGATGGCTCGCGTCGAAAATAACGTCGCCGCGCAGACCCTGGCCCCAGTACAACCACGTGTGGGTTGGCCACCCAACGCTTCCCTGGTCGATGCAAGAGAACAGGCAGGGATACACCACGCAACCGGTGCTGTCGACGTCGAGCGGGACCTCAATCCACCTTTGTCCAGTAGCCCGGTCTTCTATGCAAGAGCGCCGACTGTCAGCAGTGCTTCCCGGGCGCAGGGCAACGCCCAAGGAGCCTTCGGACACGAAGTACCGCCGCTGCGTGCTCTGCAGACGCTCGGCTCGCCTCCTCGGCATGAATCTTGAGAGTTCGAGGCCCGCGATGGCATGGAGCGACGCTTCCAACGCCTGGCAGTGATACATGTTGGCGCATCGAGTTGGTTTGTTCGTGTTCTTATCCTTGTCCTTATCCGAAAGATTACTCATGAACCTCTGTAGCTTGCCGATGAGTGCCTGCGTCTCGGATTCGTCCAAGGCGGGGGCACTTGAGGCCTGAGGGGCCTTCTCCTTCCAGTCGCCGAGCACCTGGGGGCGCCCCCGCACGAGCGCCTCACGGTGCCCGGAGCTTTAAGCAGCGTCTGCCTGGATGGGACGAGTGCGAGACAGGGAGTTGCACGGCGTCCGAGCGGCCGACGGGCCGTCGGCCGCCTGTCAAAGGGGCCCACGCATCTACACGGCTGGCCTGGGGCTCTGCCGAAAATGCGCGCTGACTGTCCTGTGGAGCCCGCTCAGGGCCCTATGCGGGCGACCCCCCGCCGGCCTGTCATGGGCCACCTCACTCGGGCCCCCGCCACTAGTCGCGCGCGTCTCCCGTCAAACGGCCCCGGGCGGTTCTAGAACAGCAAAACGAATTCTAGAACCGAAAACGTAATTCTAGAACCGCCAGACGAATTCTAGAACAGCAAAAGTGATTCTAGAACGCAAAACTGAATTCTAGAATTTCATGTAGTATTGAGACTAGAAGAGAAAAGTAATTCTAGAACCGCAAAAATAATTCTAGAACGCAAAAGTCAATTCTAGAACGCGCAAAGTGGTTCTAGAATTCTGGATTGACCTGTCCAGCGCCAGACGCGTGCTCGTTGAGCCGCCCGCGCGCCCCCCCATTCAGGCAGACGCTGCGAAAGCTCGCGGGGGCGCGAGGGCCCCGTGGGAACCCCCCTGGGCCATTGGAGGGGCCCACAGAGTGACGCTGCCCAGAGAAACTGCCGCCAGCAGGCACTCCTCGCCTGGGTTCGAGAAGCGCGAGGCGTCGCTCACCATCACGACGGTCTCTGCTCTGCGCCCGTGCAGCCACCCAGCTGCCTGGTAGCGCAGCAGCTCTGCGTCCACCCACTTGTACGCACTGGCCGCGTTGCCGCCGGTGCTCTGCAGCATGGCGATGCTGCTTGCGGCCCTGTGCGACTTCAAACAGTCCTGTACGACAGCCGCCTTTAAATCTTCGTCGACCCGCTTCCTTTTCCTATCCCCGCTGATGTCATAGGCCTTAATGGCGTCGGATGTCCATGAGGCGTCTTCGCAGTTAGAGGTGGCAGAGGCCCGCAGCTCCGTGATCAAGATCAGAACGGTTTCTGCACAAGATGGGCACATGAGCGCGCGGCCTACGAGTCTGACTAATCTACGGCAAGCTGCCTGATCATCGCCTTCGCGATCGCCCCAGGTAAGCGCCAGATGAGGGCAGCAAGCGTCGCCTGCCGCTCTGTAGCCACACTGGGCCCTCACAGCGGCGGGCACATGGGCAGGTTCCGCTAAGAACGTACCGGTCCCAGCCAAGCACGACGCGAGACCCTCCAGCAAAGCCTGCGCCAGGCCCTTGGTGGGCTCCCTGCCGTGGGAGCTCGCTGCCCAAGCCAAGAATAGCAACGTCCCACTCATGGTCATCGACCAGCACTCGTGGGCGAACTCATCTGAGATGTCATATTCCTCCAACTTTTCTTTAGGGTTGGTCCGTTTTCTCTTGCTGGATCGCACGTGCGTCGCTGGCGGCATGCCGCACGCTCGCATCATCGTCAAGAACCCTTCTTTCCAATACTTCCACCACTGGCAAAACTTAGTACGTTCGTTGTCTATGCCCATGAATTCTCCGATCGCCGTCAGGTCTACCCACGCGGACCCATCCGACTGCATGATCCATCCCTTGACCTGCACAACTTGCCTGCCCCCATCAGGCAAAAGAGCAGCGACTCGCCAAAATAGAGGAATCTGTGACATTGCGAACAATACCACAGGCTGCGGCGCGCCTCTTGCGCACTCGGGCCCCGCGTCTGACCTTCCATGGGTTGAGGTATCGTTTCGCGGGCGCCTGCAAGAAAAACGCATAGCCTAGAACAACAAACCCCGACCATGGAGCACGAGCGGGCATGACTTGTTAGACACAATGAAGAAAACATATGAGGGCAAAGAAGACGCCCTGTGTTGGTTCCCGCGTTGTCCGTTTCCCACTCGAGGCCTTGCAGGGGCTTTCTGAAACAATAAACTGGACGGAATATGGGGCGGAGGGACGAAGGTAGGAAGCAGCCGCTGCCATGGGGCAAAACATCATTGTTGAACGGCCGCATGTTTCCGCATTGAGCTGGTGTAGGTTGGTTTTGTTCCGTTCTGGACCAGTTGAAAGTTGCTGCCCCCATCTAGCTGGGACGACATTGTGGGGCCAAGTGTTGCATTTTACGTCCGCCCCCACGCGTAACGGTTTGGACGTCCATGAGCAACCAAAAGGGAAGAAAAACAAAGAACGTAGGCAGGCAAAGGAGGGAATCCTCACGCAAGTTCCACCATTGTCCGTTACCGTCGGGGCGAAGGATCGACGAAGAGCACGGGAGGGGTCCATCCGCCCCCGTTCGCCTGCTTCCTTCGTTCCCCCACCCAGCCACATATAAAGAACCAAATCTGGATAAGCAAGGTGCCCAATGATGGGTTACGGGGAATTGTTCAGGGGAGCCCCATGGAACCTGCAGCGCCACCGAGGGCGCCCGCGCGCCGGCCCGCGCCCATATCAGCATCCTTCTCACGCGGATCTCGGCCCACCAGAAGCTCCGCCGAGGGTCCCACTGAGGGCGCCCACATGAGGTCCTGCAGTGACTTCGGCACACCCCTCATACGGATCGTGCCCCATGGGGAGCTCCACCTACGGCACCTGCGACGCCTCCCGCGTTCCGGCCCGCTCCCAATTCCAGCCAAGCGCCTGCGCCAGTCTTGGGCACTGGTGTCCTGAGGCGGTTCAGACCACAAGCCTTCCAAGCTCGATCGCTGCGGGTTCAAATCAAAATCGTGCTTACCGTCGCTTGGCCTCTTACGGCTTGCGGGGTGGGGTCCAATGATTCGGGCGTCGAGCGCGGTTTTGAGGGGAGAGCGGGGGGCAAAAAGGCCGCGCTAGCTTCCATGACGGTTCAGAGCAAACTGAACTTATCTGATGTCAGCGCGGCACTTGCAGCACCACCTGGCAACCTTTTGGCGTTACACGCCTGAGGCGGGGGGGGGGTCTCTCTAAAACCGGGGGAGCCCCTACGAGGCAGGCGGCCTCTCTGTGCCTCAGCGGCGCGACAGCGGATAGGCTGGCACGCGTAAAAGCACGGATAGGCCGGTACACCCAAAATCTGCAACAGAACCTCTACGCAAGACCCCGCGCATGAAAAACTCAACTGGAACCCTGCTGCGGCGTGCGGGAAAGCAGAAGCGCTGTAATGCCCCCATCCCCGTCCCCCCACTACCTGGACAGGGTAGGCGGCGGGAGCTCGAAGATACACATTCCGAGACAAACCGTGACAGCAGCAGCTCGTCCAAAGGCCCCACCACGTCGGCTCCAGGCCCACCAAGATTCCGGCCGCGCGGGGACCCCAGGCACACACAGAAGAACATCTCATTCAAATTGTGTCGCCTGACGGAGAGGTCTGGACCTAGCTGTGCACGCACCGTTTAGGAAACACACGTGCTGTGTCCCCCGTCCCTGTCCCCATCAACCTGTGCTTCCGAACCCGGGGCTATTGCGCGTTTCCTGGTCGGGATGGCAGGACACCTGGCGCGCCCGCGTCGGGCGTGGGTGGCCTGGGGAGGGCCCCCCCCAATGGTTAACGCTATTGCTCTTGTTGAGCGCACTCCATGCCGAGCTGAAGAAAACTACGAGGCAACGAAGTTGAACGTCCAGGGAGGGAGGGGCAGGGAGGAGGAGGGACGGGAACGGGAAGGGGAGCGAGGGAGGGCAGGCATGTACGGATCGGGAGGGATGGCAGGGAGGGGGGGGGGATGAGGGGACGGAGGAAGTGGGGGGGTTGGAGCACCGTGGAGGACAGGCACGGAAACCGAAAGAGAATATAGGCTTCGAGGGAGGGGGGGGGGGCGGGGGTAGTGCAATGGGTAGCCCTTGGCCCGGTCGACAAGGTTTCCTGGAGCGCCCCGTCCCCTACCCGCCTCCCCCCTCCTCGGCGCCCCTCTTCCCTCCTCAGCCCTCGATCCTCATCTTTTTTCTTTTTCTCGGTCCCCCCTTCGTCGCGCGATTTTCTGCACCTCGCCCCATCTGATGCGCCTGGGGCCTCAAGGCGCGAGAGTGCCGCCCGCGGCTGCATGGGCCCAGCTCTCGCAGCTCTGGCCGAGAACAATCGAAGACAGAGATGCATGCCTTGAACAAACATGGATGCAACGCCACGCCACAGAAATATCGTTTCGATTGTTTTCGGGCCGCCTTCCACAGTTGGGCCCCAAGCACGCTCCCCCCCTAAATGAGCAGCCTCATCGACAACCGAAGGCGCGCAACTGCACGCCGCAGGCCTGCGAACCCATGAACAGGCCAGTCGAAATCATGGGACGGGCTGGCCGATACCCACAGGGCCTAGCCCAAAAGAATGGCAGATCATTCGACCCATCGCTGCTGTCCCCAGCCTAGCGCGCCACCCCAAAGCACGCGGCTACGCTGGGGCCTCACCCGAAAAGGACGGCCTCGTCCTCGTCCGCAGCCTCGGTGTCCCTCCCCTGCCCGGCGCCCGCGGGCTGCTCCGCCTGCGCGTCCGCCTGCTCAGCAAGCTGCGGCGGCGCTGGCGGCACAACGGTGGCCTCGTCCGGACGCGAAGGTGCCGATGGCTCCGCCGGCGCATCTGCGCTGCCCTGGCCAGGGACAACGGCTGCCTCCGGCGCTGCCGCAGCTGGCAACGCGAAGGTCAGTGCAAGGACAGGCGCCGCTGCTGTCGCTGCGGACGCCTGCGGCGGAGGGCGCGCATTGCCGACGGCAGGCTGCGCAGCCACCGGGCTCGCGGCACGCCCCGTGACCTCGCCGTTGCCCCCTGCGCGGTCTGTGATCATGAGCTGCATCTGGTTCGGCGGCCGCGGCGGCAACAGGGCCTCGACCGACTTGGCGTAGTGGGCGTCCTCCTCGCGCAGGCGAACCCTGCTCATGGACCAATTCTCGCTGAAGTAGGTCTTCGTGGGGTCCTTGATGCCCTCCGTCTTCCAGTTGATCACTCCGGACCTCTTGGGGAAACCGTCGACGCCGTAGCGCTCGAAGATCGTGAGCGAGTCGCCCTCCACCTCCTTGAAGAAGA